ATGTAGTGTACGACAGTACGGCACCTTCGTCAGAAAATATAATATAGGAGGGAAGTGGGAGAATTCAATTTAGGATTTGAAATCAAAATGGGGTCATTTACTTTTTCTTACATTCGAAGAGCGAAAGGACTTAAAAATATTATATTTTATGTTCACTAAAAATAAACGGGTTTCCTACCTAATTAGAGTAAAATGTGAAATCTTTAATTTAGGGATAAATTACAAACGTCATGAACCGCGTGTAAACGTGGAAGAGGGGTCGGGTTTTAATTAAATTGTTTGGTGTACCTTATATAGTTATTAAAAAAAAAATTAAAATACACCATTTTTGAATTGTGGGTGTGGTGCTCTGTTGTGAGTTTTATAAAACATAGGCAAAGCGCTTCTAAGACTTTATAATTTGATAATTATAATATAGGCGTTCGTTAATATTTACGATACACGATTTTTTTCCTACACAATTCCATGCTATATTTTATTATACACATATTGAGGGATAGAGATGGTCACAATAACAATTCGATGAGAAATAATAGAAAAAAGACTCGGACATTTTCATAAAATTTTTTTAGGTTCACATTTAAAATTTAACATTTAAAAGTCACCTATAGTTAAATTCCATCGTTACTTGCATTAAGTGTGCGAAATTTACCGAACATTATGAATATCAGGTCCAAATGTTGTTTAGCCACTGACATGAGTATAAGTATAATAATTGATTTGAAAACTTGCGTTCGTAAGAATGATTTTTTTCGACAGTTATTATAAATCAAAGAAGTCTTCAAAATAAATGTACAAAGGGTACTCACGTGGAGTCACAGTCATTATTGTCTTGCATTTGTATTTTAATAACAAAAGGTAAATATAATTTTATTAATAAAATGATAAACTGAGATTCACATTCTTTATATTTTTTTTTGTAGTTACAGAAATGTTGTTTCTATTATATATTATGCTCAAGATAGATGCAAGAGACTCCCTGTCACGGCTTTCTATCAGAGATAAAATTAAAACTATATTTTACATCTGAAAATGTCTTTATTATTATTATTTGTAAAGTTGTACAACGTGAATGTTTTTTCTTTTACCTTAAAAACAGTGTAAGATTTCATAAAGCCTATATTTTTAGACTGAAAATGCCATTATGTGGAACCACAGGTATGAACCTACAACATAACGACGGCTTGTGTATATAGCGTTCACTCGGTGCACAACAATAATTTGACTCGTGATAATTAATATTTTAGGTACACCTATAATAGTTGTCCAAAACAGAGTTCGTAGAGATATATTTTAGGATATATTATTATTATCATCCAATGGAGACGCAGCGATGCGTGAACGCATTTAAATTAATTGCATCGGGCTTAGTGCATCACAATCATGTGTTTTAACTTTTAATATTATATATACTTTTTTTTTTTTTTTTTTTCGTTTTT